TTTGATGGTTTAAACTAAATGCCAAGTTAACGGTTGATAAAGTTCATTCCTATGTGGCATCTCACAGATTTTCATGCATTCTGCTTTATTTCCATTCAGTTCAAAATACTTTATAATTTTTCTTTGATTTCTTCTTTGACTCATGGAGAATTTTTTTAGTTTTCAAATATCTGCAGATTTTCCAGATAGCTGTTACTGATTTCTAATTTAATTCCACTGTGATAAGAAAACATTGAATTCTTTCAAACTTGAGACTTATTTTATGGCTCAGAACATGTCAAAATTTGATATTTGAATATACAATGAATATGTATTCTTCTGTCATTATATGTAATTTTCTGTTACATAAGTCTTCTATATCCTTACTGATTTCTCAGCTTGTTTTATCAATTATTTATAGAGGACTGGAAATTTCTAACTATGATTGAAGATTTTTTTAATCTATTATTCTTTGAGTTCCATTGGTTTTTAACTTTTTGGAAGTTTTGCAGTTAGGCAGATAAATGTTTAGAACTGCTATGCCCTCTTAATAATGAACTGATTACTGTTATCATTATGTAATAACTCTTTTTAATCCTGGTAATATTCTTTGCCCTGAATTCTACTTAATATACTCACTCCAATTTTCTTTTGATTAATGTTAGTATAATATATAACCCTCCCCCCCTTAAGTCTACTGTGTCTTCATATTTAAAGGGAGTTTTCTGTAGGAAGCATAGCTGAGTCTTGCTTCTTTTTAATCCAATGTGCTAATATCTACCCTTTAATTGTGGTGTTTAGACTATTTAATGTGATTATTGATATGTGGATTTGAGTTGAGTGCTAAAACTCAGTACCAATTAATTTAATCAATTAAACTCTATAATAAGTTTAAAGGCTCTGAACGAGAGTATCTTACAGTGTTCATTAAAAATATACCAGAATAGCCCTAACCGATTTGGCTCAGTGGATAGAGCATTGGCCTGGGGACTGAAGGGTCCCGGTTTTGAATCCGGTCAAGGGCATGTGCCTTGGTTATGGTCACATCCCCAGTATTTTTTAAATAGTGCAGGAGGCAGCTAATCGATGTTTCCAACTCTCTATCCTTCTTCCTTCCTCTCTGTAAAAAATCAATTAAATATATATTTTTAAAATACACACACAGAATAGCAGCTCTCTATGGAGCACACCACATCTTCATCCATCCCCTTTCTCTAGTGCACTCTTTTTCCATTGCACCCCTCTGCATCTCCTCCCTCTTTCATCTTCTCAAGGCACATGCCTCTCTCTCTCCTAAGCTAGTAAGTCATTCCATTGCCTCTGTAACTTTCTAAATAAGCCTCCCCTTATTAAAAAAAAACAAACTTACCAGAATTAGTTCAAATAGTGTTCCTTGGTCAACTTTGAGAAATTCTTGGTCCCAAACAGGAATATCGTCTGTCCGCTTTTCTTTGTTCTCATCATCCTCAGGAGGAGGAGGGTCATCCTTGTGGTGGGTGCACCACTGAATGACCTACAACAAAAACAACAGTTCATTCCTCTATGGCATTTTATCACAAGGTATTCATTCTACTGCTGGGGCAAGGTTATTCCTATAATGAGCTAAGAACTAGCTACAAGTTGATTTGCATAATAAAGTTAGTAGCCATGCTCAAAAAGCAAAAATGAAGCTTGAGAAATCTTCACAACTCTAGAGGGTGGAAGATCTTACATATCAACTACACCTGCAAACAGATTACTATACTTGACCACATTAAAAAGCTTTTGTGGATACCAAAGACCCTCCTGCATGGGCGGCCCTGCCCCCCTTTGTCTCTGCTGTATAAATGCAGCCATTTCAGAGAATAAAACTGAGGCTTGATCAGAAAAAAAAATAAAAATAAAAATAAAAATAAAAAGCTTTTGTGCAAAAAGATACATAAAGTCATACAGGAAAAGGACTGGAAAATACATACAACTAGCAATGGATTACCCTATAGAATATAAAACCTTAAAAATCACTACAAAGAAATAAGCTAAAAACAAACAGGCAATTCACAATCTGATTAGTAAAACAGGAGGAAATGCTAAGCCTTGCTAGATGCAAAATTAACACTTTGATCAGACACAACTATTTTAGATAGATAGATATACTAGGTGTCCCTCAGCCCAGCTTGCACCCTCTCCAATCTGGGACCCCTCAGGGGATGTCCCACTGCCCATTTAGGCCGGATCCCACCAGGCAGTCGGACATCCCTCTCACAGTCCAGGATTGCTGGCTCCCAACTGCTTGCCCCTAACCGCTTCTGCCAGCCTGGTCACCCCCTAACCACTCCCCTGCCAACCTGACTGACCCTAACTGCCTTCCCCTGCCAGCCTCATCACTCCTAACTGCTCTCCCCTGCTTGTCTGGTCGTCCCCCCCCCCTCCCCCCTCCCCCCTCTCCCCTCTCCCCTCTCCCCTCTCCGAACTGCCCTCCCCTGCAGGCCTGGTCACCCCTAACTGCCCTACCCTGCAGGCTTGATCGCCCCCCAACTGCCATCCTTTGCAGGCCTGGTCCCTCCCAACTGCCATCCCTCGCTAGCCATCTTGTGTCAACATGAGGACAGCCACCTTGTGTGATGAACTGATGGTCAATCTGCATATTACTCAGATTAGAGGCCTGGTGAATGGGTGGGGGCCAGCTGGTTTGACCTGAAGGGTGTCCGAGATCAGGGTGGAGGTTCCCTTGGGGCGTAGGGCAGCCTGGGAAGGGGCCTGTGGTGATTTTTAGGCCGGTCATGCAACCCAAGTAGAGATCCTGATATCTGGGGTTTATTTATCTTCTACAATTGAAACTTTGTAGTCTGGAGTGGAGCCAAATCTCCTGCTCACTCCATGACTGCTGCCATTTCTGTTAGAATTAATTTATCTTCTATAATTAAAACTTTATAGCCTTGAGCAGAGGCTTGGGCCCACCAGGGTGTGTGGAAAGTTTGGCTTCCTCCATCGCCAGGGAAACCCAAGCCTCCCTCCTGCTCGCTCAGTGGTCGAAGCCATCTTGGTTTGGGGTTAATTTGCATACTCACTCTGGCTGGTGGGTGTAGCAGAGTGACGGTTAATTTGCATGTTACTCTTTTATTAGATAGAATATATACACACACACACACACACACACACACACACACACACACACACCAATAGTGATGTGAGAGAGACACATCAATTGGTTGCCTCCTGCATACATCCCAATTAGGGCTGGAGATCACGCCTGCAACCAAGATGCCTGCTCTTGCCCAGGAATCGAACCCAGGACCCTTCAGTCCACAGGCTTACACTCTATCCACTAAGCCTAACTGGCTAGGGCTGTGGTCAGCAAACTGTAGCTTGAGAGCCACATGTGGCTCTTTGGCTCCTTAAGTGTGGCTCTTCCACAAAATACCATAGCCTGGGCAAGTCTATTTTGAAGAAGTGCCATTAGAAGTTGTTTAAAAAATTTGGCTCTCAAAAGAAATTTCAATCGTTGTACTGCGATATTTAGCTCTGTTGACTAATGAGTTTGCCAACCACTGGGCTAGGGAATATTAAGATTTTGATACAAATTATTCGGGTAACAGCCTCTTCTACAGGGGAGTATAAACTGGAATAACCCCTTTGAAAAAATCTAGCACTACCTAAGTGAGACTATGAGACTATGTACATATATTTTCACTAAACAATTCTAAATTCACACACACACACACACAAGACTACACAATGTAATAACAAAACAGGAAAAGCTTATATGTTCCCTTACTAGGGAAATGAACACATTATAATTAAATTTTCAGGAAGCTGATCAGCTAGACTAGATGTACGATTATAAGGACCCAAACCAACACTAAAAGTATTAGTTGTAGCCGAAGCCGGTTTGGCTCAGTGGTAGAGCGTCAGTCTGCAAACTGAAAGGTCCCAGGTTCGATTCTGGGCAAGGGCATGTATTGTACATTGGTTGTGGGCACATCCCCGGTAGGGTGTGTGCAAGAGGCAGCTGGTTGATGTTTCTCTCTCATCAACGTTTCTAACTCTCTATCTCCCTTCCTCTCTGTAAAAAATTAATAAAATGTATTAAAAAAAAAAAGTATTAAGTTGTAGAATTTAAGTGGTGGGCAAATGGGTGTTTTCTGTATGATAATTTTTCCACAGAATTTAATATTGGAGGGAAATGCTGAGAAAAAATGGCCAAGAATTTTTACTGCCAGGATGCAAAAAAGAGTAAAGAGCTATTTCTAGAAGGAAAAGCCAATAATAATGGGCTTTAATGAAATAAACAATAGCTTTTTAACAAGTATTTCAGTCTTGTAAGAGAAGGAGCACTTGCCCTAACCGGTTTGGCTCTTGTGATAAAGCTTGCAGACTGAAGGGTCCCAGGTTTGATTCTAATTAAGACATGTATCTTGGTTGTGGGCACATCACCAAAAGGGGGTGTGCAGGAGGCAGCTGATCGAAGTTTCTCTCTCACCAATGTTTCTAACTCTCTATCCTTTTCCCTTCCTCTCTGTAAAAATCAATAAAATATATTTTAAAAAAAAAGGAGCATTTAGGTCCAGCTGGTTTGGCTCAGTGGATAGAGCATCAACCTGTGGACTGACAGGTTCTCAGGTTCAATTGCTGGTCAGGGCACATGCCTGGTTTGTGAGCTCGATCCCCAGTGTGGTGTGTGCAAGAGGCAGCCTATCAGTTATTCTCTGATAATTAATGTTTCTGTCTCTTTCCCTCTCCTGTCCTCCCTAAAATTAATAAAAGGTTTTTTGTTTTGTTTTTTAAAGAGTAATCAGTATTTGTTAATATAGGCATTAAAAAAACTCTTGAAAGGGTATAAAAGAAATTAACATTTATTACTACTTATGGTTTCTGGTTAGATGAGAGACAAGAGATTTTTATCATTTTTAGGTTTTGGATCATGTGATTATTCAGTATACTTAAGGTTTAAATAATCTTATTTAAATATATTTTTCTCTAGCCATTTTCCTCTAAGTCTAGCAAGTGTTTCCCCCAATGTGGAAACTGGTTGCTGTTTTTTCAGATAAGAATTCAATTTAAATAGCTGGTTCTGTTAAGGAGCCATGTGACCTGAAACACTAAAACCCTATTTAATGTGGAGAGCCATTTATGCTTAGACACAAGGTAAGTTGATCAACTAAGATAACAAAAGCACATCTCTTGTTCTCAAGTTCCCTTTGAGGCACCCATTCAGTGGACAAACAACACAAGAATTTTCCTTTTTGCTAATCACATATAGTTATATTTAAGTAACTTAAATGTGTTAATAAAAAGACTAGAAAATGTCTTTTGTGTGAAGTGTATCATTGGGCATGTGGAGGTATTATTGATATGAGAAAATGCTAAGTAACTGATTTACTATCTGAAAAGGGATTTACTATCGGGGAAAGGGAGGGAGGAAGAGACTGAACATAAACTGTGCACCTATGGATGAGGACAATGGGGGATGGGGAGGGGGCGGAGGGTGGGGTGGGAACCTGGTGGAGGGGGGAAGAAATGAGGAACCTTTGTATTAATATGAACAATAAAGATTGATTTTTAAATAAATAAATAAATAAATAAATAAATAAATAAATAAATAAAATGCCAAGAGCAAAAGACAAAGAGAGACTATTAAAAGCAGCAAGAGAAAAGCAGGCAGTTACCTATAAAGGAGCACCCATACAATTGTCAGCTGATTTCTCAACAGAAACCATGCAGGCCAGATGGGAATGGCAAGAAATATTCAAGATGATGAATAGCAAGAACCTACAGCCAAAAATACTCTACTCAGCAAAGCTATCACTCAGAATCGAAGGCCAGATAAAGAGCTTCACAAATAAAAAAATAAAAAAAAGCTAAAGGAGTTGATCACTGCCAAACCAGAATTATATGAATTGCTGAAGGGCGTTTTTTAGGAAGAGGAAGATAAAGATAAAAATTATGAACAACAAATACGTAACTATCAACAAGTGAAACTAAAAACCAAGGGAATTAAAAAATCTGACGAACAATATTAACTGGTGAATATAATAGAATCAGAGGTATGGAAGGGGAGTGGACTGATGATTCTCGAGGAAAAGGGGAGTGGGGTGTGGGAAGAGACTGAACAAAAACTACACCTATGGCTGAGGACAATGGGGGTGAGGAAAGTGAAGATGGTGTGATGGAAACCTGGTGGAGGGGAGCAATGGAGGGGGAAAAAAGAAAGAACATTTGTAATAATCTGAACAATAAAGATTTATTTTTTTAAAAAAATAAAAAATAAAAAATAAAAAATAAATAAAAAGACTAGACAAGGGCCAGGTTAAATAAACTACAACAAATAATCATACTACAAAGAGTTCTAGATTTTTTAAAAGGAAGCTATCTCTTTATCAATATAGAAAGATCACCAGGATACTGTTAAGAAAAATCACATAGAAGTATATAGTTTGCTAATTTACCTTTTTTAATATTGCTGCATTAACATTTGGTAGAGGAACTGGGTCATCATCGCCTTCATCATCCATTCCCAAATCTAACAAAACCAAAAGAGATTTGCCATTATTTCCTAACTTCATTATAACATTTATACAAAACTAGGCTATTTCTCAAACAAGTGACTAACATGACATGTCTGAAAGAGTATAAAAAGTAGTTTATTAATAGTTCTTTCACCGAAACCGGTTTGGCTCAGTGATAGAGCATTGGTCTGCTGAAGGGTCCCGGGTTCGATTCTGGTCAGGGGCACGTACATTGATTGCAGGCACATCCCAGTGGGGGGTGTGCAGGAGGCAGCTGGTCGATGTTTCTAGCGCGCGCGCACGTGCGCGCTCTCTCTCTCTCTCTCTCTCTCTCTCTCTCTCTCTCTCTCGCTCTCTCTCTCTCTCTCTCTCTCTCTCTCCCCCCCCCTTCCTCTCTGTCAAAAAATCAATAAAATAAAATAATTTTTTAAAAAATTAAAAAAATAGATATTAAAAAAGAAAAAATAGTTCTTTTAACAGCATTTAAAACTGCTGGTTCCTAATAAAAAGTCCATGGACCAAAAAACAAAAAAAAAAAGTCCATGAACCACCCAAAATTATATAAAGTTGTGAGTGGACAAATATAACAAAATTATATCAAAAGAGTTCTTAAATAGGAAGAAAATTATTTAATAAGTGTGATTGAAAAGGCTGGGCAACCGTTTAGAAAAAAACACAAACTAAATTTTTATCCTCATTCTCTATACTAAATTCTCTAGATCAGTGGTTCTCAACCTTTTTAATGCCAAGACTCTTTAATACAGTCTTCATGTTGTAGTGACCCGCAACCATAAAATTATTTTCGTTGCTACTTCATAACTGTCATTTTGCTAGTTATGAATCCTAATGTAAAAATCTGTGTTTTCCGATGGTCTGAGGCAACCCTGCTAGTGAACCACAGGCTGCAGAGGTGCGTGGCTCAGTTGGTTTAGCATTGTTCCATACATCAAGAAGTTGCTGGTTGCCTCAGATGCCAGAGCATATCCCCAGTAGGGGGCATGCAGAAGGCAGCCAATACATGTCTCTCTCATTGATATTTCTCTCTCCTCCTTCCTTTCTAAAATCAATAAAAACATATTTTTAAATAAAAATAATATCCCAATTTGGATCAAGCCACTTACCTCTTTCCTGAACTAGTATAAAATATTTTTAACCGGAAGAGAAAAAAGTTTTACTATGTGAAATACTTGTGTTTGAGGAATTAACATTTAGAGAAAACATAATACAAAGACCATCTTTTAGATCCAAATGTTATCTGGAAGAAGGCTTAAGTCACATTAAAAATAAGGGCCTTAGCCCTGGCTGGTTTGGCTCAGAGGCTAGAGCGTCAGCTTGCTGACTGAATGATCCCAGGCTCAATTCCTGTCAAGAGCATATGCCCGGGCCGGTTGCAAGCTCAATCCCCAATAGGAGGTTTGCAGAAGGCAGCCAATCAATGATTCTCTCTCATTACTGATATTTCTCTTTCTCCCTCTCTGAAATCAATAAAAATATACAAATAAAATAAAATAAAATAAAAATAAGAGCCTTAGCTTTGGCTGGTGTGGCTCAGTTGGTTGGAGTGTTATACTGAGCACGAAAGGATCATAGGTTCAATTCTCGAACAGGGTATATTCTCAGGTTTCAGGTTCAATCTCAGGACAGGTAGCATAGGGGAGGAAAACAAATGTTTCTCTCACACATCTCTCTCTCTCCTCTCACACATCATTGTCTCTATCTCTCTCCATCTCTCAAATCAATAAAAATCTATCCTCTGGTAAATACTAATAAAAAAATAAAAATGGTTGCAAAGGATTACTTCTCTAACATTTAAACCAGTGGTTCTAAACCTTTAATACAGTTTCTCATGTTGTGGTGACCCCCGCAACCATAAAGTTATTTTTGTTGCTATTTCATAACTGTAATTTTGCTACTGTTAATGAATCGTAATGTAAATATCTGTTTTCCGATGGTCTTAGGCTCTACAGCAGTGGCTCTCAACCTATGGGTTTCGACCCACAGGTTGAGAACCACTAGCAGGGTCGCCTGTTACATGATTGGTGTCAATGACCAAAAAGAATGTGTTTAGCTTTTATCAGCCAACAGAAGTCATACACTGAGAAAACAGAAGACACACCCTCTGCAATTCAGCTTCCGCCTCTACCACACCTATTATCTGCTGTTAGAAGTCATCTAACTTATTAACTGTAAAACCCTAAGTGATCAGTCAACAGTATATAAATCCAACAATCACTGTTCACCTCAAAATGCCTCCCTCTTACCCTGGCTTCCACATATACCACTTCACTGATTCTCCACTCCCGACTTCTACATTCCTGCCCCAATTCCATTTACTGCCACAGATACTTCCATTCCTCTCAAGCCCATTCTTCAGCTCTACCAACTACAGTATCACAATCTCATCCCACTCCAAAAAATCCAACTAAAAAAACCTTAATTTTACTTTTCTCTAACACATCCTCTCTACTACAGAATAATCTTCCAAAACATTCTAATTCTACTAGATTTGAAATATCACCTAAGACTACCCACTGCAGTTTCTCCACAAGCCTGAAGAATAGCATCAGCCAAGATGTTCCCACAGCACCATTTGGCACACAGTTTTATTTTAATTTTTAATTTTTTTTTACTTTTTGGAAAACCTTTATTTTTATTTATTTTTTTAATATATTTTATTTATTTCCCCCCCTTCCTCCCCCCCTTGAGTTTTATGTCCATTGGTTGTACTTATATGCATGTTGGCACACAGTTTTATTAATGCACTAATTATATATACCATGTGGCAGTTTGACTTTTTTGGCGTCTGTCTCCCTTCCTGGTTTAAAAATCCTTCAAGCGCAAAAACTATTTTTCTTACCTTCTTTTTCACCAGAATATAGCTAGTGCTTGGACATAACTCACTCAATTATTGGTAAGCAACAGATCTTCCCTATATAAAAGCATCTGACATTGAAAAATTAAGAGTCTAATTTCTGAAGAACACTCTCATTACCGGTAAATTTCCTCCTCCCCACTAATTCTAGAGACTGATTTGTATGTCCTCATTTTATATTAATGTCCACCAGCCCACTGGTAATACTAAGAAGAGTATCCACATTAAGTAAAAAATTTCAAAAATGTTTCAGAACCGGTTTTTCTGTCTTCTTTGTTGTGCTGCACATATACTTTGAGAGGAAGTAGTTTCCTCTGGAATAACAAAGTAGTTTCAGAGGAATAACAAACTAGACAAAAGGGAAAACTTGGTTAAAAAAAATAAACACACATCTACTCGGTTTACAATCTACTCAGTTTACTTCTGTTGAAACCAGGTGCTCTATTTAGCAACCTTATAGAAAGGATCTCTTTTCCAAAGGCTTTCATTTTTGTCATTAGAAATTGTGAATCTAAATTTACTCTTGGTCTTATATATTTAATGGGGGGGGGGGGGTCTCTCATTAATTCAGACAATGCAAAAGGGATGACCTGTATAAAAAAAAATGTAGTTAATACTTTAAATTCAAAAAAAGGCAAACTTCACCCCTTCGTATTCTTGAGAACTTTGACAGATTACTTGTATAAATTCGATGTTCACAGGTTATCTCAAACTACTTATTTCCCCCCCTTGACCCAGGCTTTTAAAATAACTTACCTTCTAACATAGTCTTGATAGTCACAGATTGTTTGGCAATTTCAACATCAACTTCAAATATCTCTCCATCAGAACTCTGCAATTTAATTGAAGGCATCTAAAAAAAAAGGGGGGGGGGGGAAGCATTATACTGAATTTGAAATATAAGAGATTATTTCCATAAACTACCGATTTTTTAAAAGTAAAATCAAGATTTCTGTTGTTTTTTTTTTCGGGTGGGATGAGATGTGCCTGTTAGAAGCTCTCCATAACTATAAAATCCTAAAAACCTGTAGTATATAGCCCTGTAAAACACTGTGATTATTCACGGGCTAACATACAAGTGTTTCTATAAAATTCTTTCAAAGTGTAATTCCTAGAAACAGAAGCTCTTAAGGTCCTCCCTACTGAACTCATTGCTGGTTTAAATTTAGAGTTACATTCCATACTTTTGAGGCAAAATACTTCTAAAATGGAACTTACATTTTTGTCTGCCTTTTTGCTTTTACTTAATACTGGCTATTGTATTTGAAGTTAACTGTTAAAATTAACTCCTGCAAACCCGAGGGCAATTCAAAATAAACAAAGCTACCAAATAAGATAGTAATTTTTCTCTAGTGAAACTTACCAGTGAAAAATAAGTTCAAATCCAAAGTAGATCATGACATACTTAGTATTTATGTTTGGATCAATGCAAGATCATATAACAGAATAAAGAGCTAAGGATAAACAGATGTCAATCTAATTCCCCATGCCCAATAAGAAACCAATTGCACAGCGTCCTTTTTATCTTACATTACTGACTGTCCAGGTGTCCAAGTTTGAGATCTTCTGCCAAAATCCTCATAGTAATAACTTACTACTCATTTCAAAAATGTATTTATTAACTAAGATTGAGTCATTAGGAAAAAGATACCTCTTACATAAAGTTAAGCAATTAACTTCAAAGGACTTGAATTCTGGCAAAAAAAAAATTGTTTAAAATTAAAAATTCTAATGCTGAAACTGGTTTGGCTCAGTGGATAGAGCGTCGGCCTGCGGACTGAAAGGTGCCAGGTTCGATTCCGGTCAAGGGCATGTACCTGGGTTGCGGACACATCCCCAGTAGGGGGTGTGCAAGAGGCAGCTGGTGGATGTTTCTCTCTCATCGACGTTTCTAGCTCTCTATCCCTCCCTCTTCCTCTTTGTAAAAAAATCAATAAAATATATATTTTTTTTAAAAATTAAAAATTCTAAGTCAGCAGTTTGTGGGGTTTTTTGTTTGTTTGTTTGTTTTGTTTTTTACCATCTTCACCTTCTTGGGCAGAAAAGGATTGGGGGTGGGGGT